ATTGGGTTTAACGCACGGAGTAAATAGATAATATACTCTACGGAAGCATCAAATCTTTTGAGAATAACAACCATACTTGCCAAAAATCAGATGGAGGTGAGCTATGCTTGTGATTAGGAGGAGTTTGTATCCATGAGTAAATTATTTAGGTACTCGTACCCAACATCTACTACCCATACTTTTGTAGACGATCACAAAGAATAACTATACTTATAAAAATTGAGTAGCTATAAAAGCGAATAACAACTCATTACCCACTATTTTTGGATAAATATGGATACTCGACGTTGAACATGAATACATCTTTCCTAGATGAGCATGAACAATAGGTATTGAGTATGTGTACGTTCTTCCATACACGTGTTGTGTATGATGTAATTTCCCCAGTTATAGAGAGGCAGAGGCGAATAAGAGGAAAAACTAAGAGAGCTTATCCTCTGGGAGAAAACATGTTACCCTAGCATCAACCTTTCATTTTTTGCTTCAGATAATAAAATTCATGAGCATACTGTATACTTGCTCTTTTTGGAGAAAGAGCTACTTGGGATAACTTTTTTAATGTGACATTTTGGGATCCACCTAATCAACATATGATTAGTTTTCAAAAATAAAACTGAATTTTAAGTTTTTAAATACTTAGATTTGGCTGTCCAAATATTAGATGGTCTTTTTTTTTTTTTAATAGGAATTTATTTCTTTCAAGTTCATTTAGAGTGTATTTCATTTTATTTTGCTTTTTCTCATCGTTAATCGACAAATAGAAGAATCTTGCATCTCGAAAAATTGGGCCCCAAAAAATATTGGGTTTTTACTCGAGGATTGAATCGAGGAACATAGAATCTTTTGACAAAACAAGTTACCCTTATACAATAAGATTTATTATCTTTCAATACAAGAAGGTCATAGTCACCTATGACCATTAGACTTGATATTGTATGGCTAAAAATGCACTAATAACCACACTTCAAATCCACAATACTTTTTTTATCAAACTTTGTAGCACACTCCTAGCCGTCTGATTTTATATCTAACAACTAGGAGGGATTACCACCTTGTACAAAGGTTAGTGGCCTCATTATATACAATCCCTCATTAATAAATGTGGTATGGTCTGCCTAATTAGTCTAGTCATAGCTTATTGTGATCAATTGCAGCACCACATAGGCCATTATTGAAAATTATGTTCCACTCTAGCTTTATGGAGAAAAAGAAAATGGCTCTTTAATAAGTTTCTCATGTTCTTGAAGACAGTCAAAATTTAGGAAACATATGATATTGATGATAATACCATTGGGCCTCATCTCCCATGACTTTAAGCCATGGAGGCACATATGTAAAATCATAAGTTAATTCATAGTTTCCTGTGTGTAGATGATCTTTCATCATCCACTATAATGTGCAAAATTTCTAAGAAATTGGAGCCAATTTAACCATTTCATGAATTTCTAGTCCTTGAAATTCACATATAATCATAGTTAGAATTTTGGGCACACAAAGAAGTATCTTATTATTGTCCGAATATTATGGGAAACTCTTTTTTTAATTATATATATAAATAGTAGTTTAGCGGTAGAAATCGAACATGTGATAGATTGTCGTGGTTGTCAATCATGAACTAATCAAGCTCATGCCCCTTGTTGTTCCTCATTCGTATTGGATCATTTATCTTTTGTACATGGAGATCACAATCATTTTCACTCATTAGATGTCAAATTATATAGCTTAGGGTGAGTCACGAAGTTTGAGATTTTTTTTTTTTTCTGAACTTTGTATCTATTCAATGACAGTATTGTAACTACCCATTTTAAAATTTAAAGAACAAAAATGATTGTGATCTCCATGTATAAAAGATAAATGGCCTCTTTATAAACAATTCTTAAAGGTCTTATCCAACTTTCAGGTAATTTGAGTGTTGCAAGTTGAGTGCATTTGCTTTTGGATAAAAATTTAGCGGTTCGACGACTAAAACACCATGTTAGTGGAATTTGTTTGGCCCTCATCTCAAACCATTTTTATTCATCTATGAATTATTTTTTAGAATAAAATACGGAAAGATTTATTTTGATTAGCCTCAAAATTTTAAAAAAATTCCCCCTTCCAAGATTGTATCTAGACTGTCCATTTGATAGACAATTGTATCTATGCTTTTGCTAAAAAATAATAATAATTTTTTTTTGAAATTGGTCCGATGGTCAACCAAGGATACATGTCATAATAAGCCCCTTACTAGGTGGTCCAAGGATTGCCATAGACACAAAGTTCCTGTGTTCTCTATGAAATGAGCCCTCACACAGTGCAAATGGTATAGTTATCAGGTATTAGTTTGTCACTGGGACTATGGTATAAGACAATTTATTTACAGTACAAGAAGGTTATGATCACTTCTAGCAATTATACGTAAAATCTAACAGCTTGAGTGTATTATAAAGATCAATATTTTTCTTTTTTTCATATTTTAAGCCCAATCAGTAACACAATCTCAGCCGCCCCATTTTATATCAAACAACCAATAATGATTTTGTTCTTCTTGTATGAAGGATAAATAACTTTACTTTATAATATATATATATATATATATATATATAGAGATAGAGAGAGAGAGAGAGTATAGATAAATTAATAAATTGATAAATTAAATTTGAAAAGAAACATGTCACTTACCACAAACAATATTAACATCTCTATGAGGCAAATGGGGAACAATTAGCAAAGAAATGTTAATAGATATATGAAATAAAAACATATTAATTTGGATAACAATTTTATGTTTTAATTTTCATATACCCTAAAATTGATTGTCGACTTTGTAATCCAATAGGGAAGACATGCTCCTACCCACTTTTTTTCAGATAGATTAAGGTGTTAGCTCATTTTTGAAAATATCAGGAGGTGGTCTTAGACATGTTAGGGAGTTTGCTTTTTTTTTAAAAAAATGTCGCTAGGCGGTGTCGCTAGGATTGAAAACCGCAACATAGAACTTATGTATGGGGGTGCTACCATCATGGCCCTGCCCTTTTCCTAAGAATGTTTACCGTCAATGCCAAAATGCCACAATCATGCTTAGCTACCGCATTCGAAGAGAGTGTCCCATTGACAAGACTCAAATTTTTTTAAAAAATAATTATTGTTCAATGCTTGTGAAGCATCCTAAGCCGCCTGATTTTAGATCTTGTGGCTGGGAGTAATTATGACATATAATCCCTCTAAAGCTCATATTTCTTAGTTTCTAAAAAGGGAAAATGAGATATAAGGACTATAGCTATACCTTCAATGGACGGCCCTGATTCAATTTCTTTTTACATGTCTAATCACTTGGAGAATCTCAGTCCTTGAGACTGGAAAGGCGGCTTGCCTCTCATACATTACTCATGGCTCTTCCTAAAATAAGAAAGCAATGCTTTGTCTTTTTAAGAGGGCTTTTGTTTTTCACTCTAGGAAGTAAAATAACAGTAGGGCACCAATTATTGACATTGAAAAATAAAAAATGAATCTCATTGACATGATCAGATTGGAAAGACCTCTATGACCCAAAAGCTAAGAAAAAAGAGGAGACTTATGCCTCAAGGGGTTAAAGAAAAGCCTAAGCTTTTAAGGCTTTTCAACCCTAAGCAAAACCCAACTAAGGAAGTTTCTACATAGCCTAGGCTATATGAAAACAAAATAAAGCCTCATCTCAAATTCTAGTATGGAAAACACTATAGCAACATAAATATCCATGATGGCTCTAAAATCAATTTTCAATACTGATAATAAAATTTAAAATTAAAAAAATATACAGTTCTTACGGATCTACGAGCACTTATTTTCAATATATGTTATTTTTAGAACTTGAAATCTTAATTTTCTTCAAAACTATAATGTTCAAATCGAGATGATCAATGTAAAGGTTTCCCAACACTTGAATTACAATATTCGATGAGTTATGAGGTGAGACTTTACTTATTTTGAAAAGGCTAGAGCATATCCAACCATTTTCCTTTAATAAATCAAAATTTTTAGCAAATAGAAAAATGTTTCACAATAAAACACCCAAATTAGAGTTTTTTAACCACAATTTGATTGTGAGAAATAGAACGCCAAGAAAATATTTTGTGAAAGAATTCTATGAACCAAAATCTAAGAAAAAATATACATAGGTCAAAGAAAAAGCCTCGGCTTTCAACTTTTCAACTCAAATTGAAACCCAATTATTTCATAAATCAATTTTATTAGTAAATAGTAAAAAAAAGATACAATAAAAAACAAAATCAATAATTTTTTTAAGCAAAAAAAGTTAATAAAGTCATAAATCAATTTTATTAGGAAATGGTAGAAAAAGATGGAATAAAAAAAGCAAATCAATATTTTCCAAGTAGAAGAATTTAATAAATTAAATTGATTATGAGAAAAAAATTTGTTACACAATGGACAGAGCTTTATGATCCAAAAGCTTAGAAAAAAAGAAGTCCCATGCTTCACGAGGTCAGAGAAAAAGTCTCAGCTTTAGGACTTTTCAACCCAAATTGAAAACCAATTTTCCTCATAAGTCAATTTTCTTTAGTAAATGGTAAAAAATTTCATAATAAAAAGCCAACTCTAGAGATTTTCAAACAAAAGAAGTTAATAAATCACATTAATTAAGAGAAATATAAAACAAAGTAGAATGCTTTCTAATGTTAGAAAGGAGAAAATGAGTGCTTCTTATTTAAGAACGAAAATTGATTTTTTATTTTTTATGAGAGAGAATGAGAGAGAGGTCTCCCTTTCTTTAATGGACCAAAAGAAGACCTCTGTTTAGACTTTAGAGAGAGAAAGGAGGGCTGTTTACTTAGAAAGACAATTAGAATAAAATTTTTAGAGAAAAAATGAATGGTTCTCTAGAAGGGGAATGAGAAGAGAGGATTTTTGTTTTTACTCAGAGACAGCATTAGGGCATTTTTAGTGAGAGAAAGAGAGTTTTCATGGGTTCAAGAGAGAGAGAGAAGAGCATTAAGGTATTTCTAGAGAGAGAGAGAGTTTTTTTTAGAGGGAGAGAGAGGACATGGGTTTGAATGGGTTTTTCATTAAAGAGGACAAAAATGGGGCCTTATTGGGCTCGGAAGCATAAAAACCCAGATCCGGTATGTTCATATAAATGGAGACCAAAATACTTAAGTTTTCTGGAAAATGGACCTTTGGCTTTTGCCTTGTGTCAGTTCCCCCACGACTGAAATGTCTCTCTCCAGATTTAGCATTACTCAGGAAGAGAGAGAAAAAATGGAGCCTCGGAGTACTTCTACTGCAACTGTTCATCCAGGCCTTAGATCCACCCTGAAGTAAGTACACTTGTCCCTCTTTCTGTCTCTCTCCCCCTTCATAATCCAGACCCCCACATAGATTCCCCTGTATAAACCCACCAAAAATCATACCTTTTTGTGCCCAATTTCATCAGAGAAACAGACCCAGATTCTCCATTTTTTCAAAAAGGTCTCTCTTTTCTTGTTTTCTCTCTATTTCTGTGTATAATCCATTGGAAAGATTGAATCTTCATGCGTTTTTCTCGTGTTTGATACTGGGTTTCTCTCCCCTCTTTTTATTCATCTTTTTTGGTACAGTATTGGGCTTTCCCGCTATTGTTTTGCATATGTTTTATTAGGGGGTATTAGGGATCTTTTCTGCTTCTTCTCTTCATTTATTTGTGCATGTTATTGGGTTCTTTTGATGTCCTTTTTCTTTCTCTTGTTCTCCTGGTTTTCCATAAGATAATGGGGTTCTTATTGTGTTCTTATAGGTTTTTGAAGTGATTTTTGTTTTCGACCATTTGAATGTTGTTCTTCTTTTGCTTGATTTCTTGCATGTCATTTCTTTATCGTTTCTCTTTGTATGTGATATAAGGGTTTTTATTATTTTTTATAACAGGATGTTCTTGGGGTGTTTTTATAATCTTGTTCAATCTGATATTTGATCATTTCCCCTCTTATCTTGATAAATCCTCATCACAGTTTACTCTCTCTTGCTCTCTCTCTCTCTCTCTATACTTCTTTTGAACTGCTCTCCCATTTGTGATATTGGGATGTTGCATTTGTGACATTTTGTTCTGGGCCGCAAAAGAAAGGGTTGGAGAGCTGTTTTCTAAGGTGAATGGGCTTTGAGACAATGGTGTCTCAAGGTGGAGGGCAAACCCCTCAGTTCCAGATATTGGGTAGGCAGGGTTCTCTATATAGTCTCACTCTAGATGAAGTTCAAAACCAGTTAGGTGATCTAGGAAAGCCCCTAACCAGCATGAACATAGATGAGCTCCTAAAGAATGTATGGTCAGCTGAGGAGGGCCAGGCCTTGGCCACACTAGGTGAAAAAACAATGGGGCCTTCTTCCTCTTCTTCGGGTTTACAGCGCCAGAGTAGCCTCACTCTAACGAAAAATTTGAGTAGAAAGACTGTTGATGAAGTGTGGAGAGATATACAAATGGGGCAAAGAAAGGGCGAGGAAGAGAAGAAGTCGCATAGGAGGCAACCCACTTTAGGAGAGATGACATTGGAGGACTTCTTGGTCAAGGCAGGTGTAGTTAGTGAGAGTTCGGACAAAACCCAGCGAGTAACCGAGAATTCGAATTGTTTAGAGGGTGGCCAAGGGATTTGTGACATGGCTTCAGTTATGGGGATGGATCCAATGGGAAATGCTCATAATCTTCAGCAACAGCAAGCTCAATGGATGCAATACCAGTTAGCTTCTTCTCACCATCATCAGCAGGCTCAACAGGCTCAACAACAAAGTTTAATGGGCATTTATGGGCAAAATCGCAATGTTGGGCAAGGCTTAGGAATGGGAGGAAGCCCACTTATGGATGTGGGGTACCCTGAAAACCAAATGGGTGTGGGATCGCCTTTGGTAGGGACTTTGTCGGATACTCAAACACCGGGAAGGAAGCGTGTGGCTACTGGTGATGTCGTCGAGAGGACAGTTGAGAGGCGGCAGAAGAGGATGATCAAGAATCGCGAGTCTGCTGCTAGGTCTCGGGCGAGGAAGCAGGTTGATTTTTTACCTGTGTATGTTTGTGTGTGTGTATGCCTGTGCGTGCCTTGTGTGTGCATGTGGCTGGTTTGAACTCATGACTAGGGGCTACAGTGACAAATGCCCTTCAAACTCCAAATGGACCATGGGCTCAAATCACTCTCTCTTCCCCTGCTCTGTGTTTGAAATTTCGTTTAGTGCTATTTGAGTTATTGTCTTTCTAAATGTATGCTTTTTGTAATAGTTATTGTTTACATGTACAGGCATACACAAATGAGTTGGAGAATAAAGTCATGCGTCTGGAGGAAGAGAATGAAAGGCTTAAGAAGCAAAAGGTGGGGATCTCATCTTATTTCCAAAGTATTTTTTGATAATTTTTATATTTCTGCATACCATCTAGGATGTTGCCATTTGCATGTAGAGCATACCTTAAATTCTGTCCATGGTTTTTGGCTTTTGTATCTTTCTGCCCACCTATTGGCAAAGTAGGAAGCCGAGTAGTTGTACTTTTGATTAGTGCCTTATTTTTAGTCAGAGAATGGCTCTCACTTCAAAGAATGCGCCTTTTAATGCATATAGGGAATGTTGATCCTCTATAATGTTAAAGTTGCTCGAATAATTTAATCTGCTGCATGTGCTAATTTGTCCAATTGACTGCATAATCTTCTTGCTCAATTACTTCTTTAGCTATTAGTGAAATATTATGTTTTCGTCTACTTGCCATAGCTTGTCTTTGTTTTTCTTTTGGCTGCCTGTTGCTATTATGCACAATAATTTTTTATTTTATTTTCTGCACAATTGACTGCATAATCTTCTTGCATAGCAATTACTGAAATATTATTTTTTCATGATATGTTTAGGGATGTTTTTCTTTGGTCTGTCATTGAATTGATTGTTCATGAAGATGTGTTGAGAAGATGCAATATAATATGGTTATTCAATGACATTTTATTGATTACACTGATTGTCTGATACTTAGGGAAAAGTCTAGAATTTTGTTAAATGAGAAGTATCAAAGCTTGTTACCATTCAAAAAGGGAAAAGCTTGAAGCTTGTTCCATACTGATTAGAAGGTTTTCATAAGAATGGTCATCCTATTCAAGCCTTAAACCTTTTGTCTTTGCCTGTCTAACCCATAGGAATACAGTTTATGCAAGTTTCTTGTGTTGTTTATTCAAGTTTTTATTTTTATATGTCATTCATATTTTTCGACCCATAGGGAAACAGTTTATGCAAGTTTCTTTTGTTGTTTATGCAAGTTTACTTTTGTTTGTTCATATTTTTCGAGTTCAGGGTGGCTTCGGTATAACACAGCAGTATTGTATCGAGATGAAGCCAAACTATTATAGATCATGATTTAGCTGGTTTTTATTTTATTTTATTTTTTATTTATTTTTATTGCTTCTTCAGATTCTGTCTTTCCTATTTGTAATCAATTAATCATATCTTTTTAGGAATTATGTTTTGTGTGACTCGTTAGAAAAACAAAAATCTTGATTCATGTCAAGATATTATATTTGGCATGTTTCACTTTCATGGTTATATCCTTTTTATGATAGGGACTCAAAAGCTTTCTAAGACGTCTTTCCTGTTCAATTTATGTTTAGTGCATTTTTCGAATGCACTACATCAACCATTAGTGGATCACTTGTAGTACATTCACAATCTATATATTCATGTTTTTTTTCAATCATTAAATATTTATCTAGCATACATTAAACCACAATCAAGGGTAGGGGACATGTGGCATTCAATGAGATTAGGACCCTAGTGTTAGAGAGACTTAAGATTGGGCTACCTATTGACGGGGCCCTACAAAGTCGGAGTTTATGGTAGCCTAACTCATAGTCCAATTCAATTTCTATCTCTTCCTATGGTAAATTTTTTTCATAGATAATTCAATTGAGATTATAAATAGGAAATCTAATTGAAAAATGAAACTCTCCATTTAATAAATAATTTATCTCTATCCAAAATTAGGAATAAGTATTTTTTATGACACACACATAATAAGTATTTTAGAGATTTTATTTTTTGTGGAAAAGATTTTATTTTTTGTGGAAAATCTTTTACATGTTGTTTATCATCTTGATAGTGTTATTATAGTAAGAGTAGCATGCATTGCTTGAACCTCTTGCTTGTTTAGCATAATCTCATTTATTGATTTCGTCATTTTTTCACGCACCTAATTGGAACTGAATTAACCTATCCAGTGTTAGGCTCAGGCTAACCTGAGCCACTTGGCTGCGGTAGGGTGCCAAGTCCAGATGCATAATCTAGGAGTCTGATGAGTCTGGCCTGCATCACTGCTTTTAACGTAGAGACTTGGCCAAGCCAGTCTCCAACTCGAGCTCACGACACTGGCAAGTTCAAGCCTGAGGCTGAGCTTTTAATCACTGATCCTATGGAGTCTCAAGGTTAGCTTGATGGTAGTAGCTTGGGGATGTAGCGTGTAACCCTTGTTGTAGGGAGAGCCCTTGGAAATTGTTCCGTGAGATTAAGAAATCTTTTATTGGTTATTTTTCTGATTGAATTCAGAAGTTATCTTTGATTTTCTATTTTTATTAGGTAATGAGAAACTACTCATGTGTATTGGTGTATTTATTTATTCTGAAAATATGTCAGTAGCATGTTAATTTTCGTTGCTGGTCGGATTTGTCCCAAAGATTGGGCATTCATATCTATCACCTCATGTTGGGTAGTTCCCTTCTCAAACCTTAGGTTTTCCAGTTGGATTCCCTAGATTTCTTAGCCCAAATACAAATAAATAATGGAAAAACCTTCTGATGCTTGGCCACTTTTATGTCATATTTGTGCTGTGTGGCACAATAACCTATTGACATGGCTTCTGTTGTGTCTCTTTGTGTTTGTCCAAACAGTTTCTTAGTTCCAATAGATCAATTTTGAGATTTTGTATTATCTGGATAGATGTCTCCTAAATACCTGTAATATTCTTGTAAAGTACTGTTATCTGGATATAAGTCTCCTAAACACCTGTAATATTCTTGTAAAGTACTTGTAGAAGCTTATTAAATGATAAGGGTATTTTAGCTTCTATTAATACACTTTTTTTTAAGAATTGGGAGTGAGAATGCATTATTATACATGGAATATGTTTTGCATTTCATGTTTGTAGCCATGTTGGGGCATCATGACTAAGAGACTGATGTATCCAAATCAATGGATGTAATTTTGTGCTTAGTTTACTTTTGGATGGTCCAAAACTCAATTCAGATATATTTTTGAGATTTATGACCATTATTTCTCTGCATTTTTCTTAATTCAAGTATCTCAGACTCCAAGTCATGTTCAGAAGTTTTAGGTTTAATTAGATTTCAAGTTTTAGTTCGGAGTTCCATGGCCCTTCTAATCCTAGCTTAGATGTTTTGGTTTAAAGTACCACTCCGGTAGGAGTTTCCTTATGTTAGACTGTTGAAGTAGCTTACATAGTAGTTTTTTGAGTTGATTATGTTCTTTATGTTGAGTTTCCCTTTTATAATTGGAGTCTTAATCAAGCGAGGGATTGCTTTCAATCCAAGTAAGAGAGGGTCATGAGTTAAAAGCACTATTATGGGTACATGCAAAGGGCCTATAGCCAGACCATGGCACGAGTAATAGAAATAGAATCTTTGCAAGCCTCAATGATGTTGATTTCATTTTTGTGGTCTTGATACCACAAACCCTTCGTGGTGCCGACTCCACAAAACTTCATTCTTGTATGGTGCAGATTTCATACAATGCTTAGACACCCCTCGCATCCTTGTTCTCACTCCACTTCCTGTGATCCACATCTTCACCTATTCTCTTTCTAAAACCCCATGTCATACCCATACTTCCTGTGACCCTCATCTTCATCTATTCTCTGCCTAAAACCCCATGTCATACCCATACTTCCTGTGACCCTCATCTTCATCTTTTCTCTGCCTCAAACCCCATGTCATACCCATATCTCACTGCCATCAGGTACTTTCTCTTTCATCTCCACAAGCCACATCATCTCCATTAAACCCTAAAACCTTGCATCCTTTCATGCCATGTTCAGATTGCCCTGAGCCCAACATACAGTGTACACCACTTTCTTTCATCCCTTTAAACCCACAATCCCTATGTATTTCCAATCAAACCTACACACAACCATCCACTCCCACATTCCTCACCTGAAACCCTAATTCACATCAATAACCACCAGCCACAACCATAGTTTAACCTTCGCCCTAGATTTCTAAGCCTACTACCTCAAATCCCTAAGCCTACTACTGTTGGATCTGCCTCTTTGTCACTACATTAAATTATTAACATGGATGCTATATAAAGTTGTGTAGAATATATATGAAATTTGCAACGGAAAGTAAATGTTGTGTGAGTTGATTAAATGAAAGTGTTGGCTACCCTAAAGTTTAAGCAGTTTGGTATGAGTCCCATCAGCTCAGTCAAAACAAATGTTCAATTTTTGTGAGCTTGTTCACCTATTAATTAGGTGAAATGCTTAGGTTCTAATGTCCAGAGGTAGACAACAAAGGAGGAGAACTGGTTCTTGCCAGGATATTTATGAATGAGAGCATGTTGGTTTTTGTCAACCAAATGCTATTTAACATCCGTGCATCCATGGAGGCAAAAGAAAGCGATTGGTAAATGAGCAACAGTGCTAATGTTGTGGTCATATTGATAAACATTGTGTAGTGTTTGAGATTTCAAATCTATTGATGATGGTGGAGCTGTTTGTTGCATGCCTTCATAGCGCACAGTCAACTTTAAGCCTACTTTTGAAATTAGGCTAACTATATGTGGATGTATGAATTGCGACTTTATGGAACTAAAGAGTTCCATTTTTAACTCTTTTTGACTGAGTTGAATTCCAAATGCATGTTTACAAAAGCAGATCAAGACAGTATTGAGCTCACCTATGTTGCAGAAGCATTTATAACCATTGGTGCTTTTGACTGTCAAATAGAAAAAACCGCTCATGCATGAGCTTCATCAAAATTAGACATTTTGAGGTTTATATGCATATGTGTATGTATATGCGTATGTGTATTATCACTTCAGAACCATAGACTTTCATTCTCTAGTGATAGGTATTATATGCGTATGTGTATGTATATGCACATATGTGCGCTAGCATGGCTACAAAGTATCTTCCACCCTTTCTATTTATTGGCTAAAATTCTTGTAAATAATTTTTTTCTGATGCAAGGCTAGTTGGAGCAAAACTAAGTGGATACTCCTCTGATTAGGACAGATGAAATGCTTTTTTGGTATTGACTGTCAAGCTCGAAATTTAATCATATGCACACTTGGTTAATATGAATGCTTTTTGACTTTTTGTGCTCATAATTCCATGCAAGTTCTTCATAGTGGTCTCTCTTTTCTATGAGTCAAGGTGGCGTGTCATTGAGATTCCTTTTGGGTTTGAATTTCCATGAGTGATATGACTAGCACAAAATCTGTGCTGTTTGTCATTGATTGACAACCACTTCTAAAGTAGCAATTTTACCCGCCACATTTTGAATAATCCATTTTCATCAAGAATAAACAATTAAATGTAGAAAATTTTAGAAAAAAGAAGAAGAAGAAAGAATAATGAAGTAAGAAATAATTTCACGATAAACATCTTATCAAGAAAGATATAAAAAAAATGGAAAGAAATGAAGCAAGTATGATTGGTATCAACACTTAATTTTTCCTTTCTCTTGTTAACTGATTAACATAGATAATTGTGAACATTTTACTTATTCATCTGTTGTGTTTATTGTAAATGGTTATTTTTGTGTATTAGTTTATGCTTATTTATTATCAAGAAAGCGTTTCTGGTTTTCAGTTAGAAAAATATGTCTTCCACCAAAGCAGCTGAACCACTGCGTCACTTTGCTTCTCCAGCTAAACCATGGTGGTGTGGTTGTGCATGTGCGGATGTGTGGTTGTGTATGTTCTTTACTCATACATGGGATCTGTCTGTTCTTTTACTCATATGTGGGCCTGCTGGCTACATGGTTTATTTACGTGTAAATGTATGCTTTACTTGTTTGCTCATACAAAAGCGTGTTTGTGCGTGTTCATTCCATAATGTCATCATGATGACATGCATTTACCATGCTGTTAGGTACTGCTTGGTATTGCCAAATGTGTTGAACCTGTGTTGCATGTATACTGTTATGCATGGTAGTTTCTGACACGGGTACGTGGTTCAGATTCCCCATGCCATGGAGAAGAGTATTCAACAATGCAGCTATGTTATGTAGAGATAACTAAATCCAACAATGTTCTACTAATATCCTATTTCATGACGAATAACAAGAAATAATTGATTATACCTTAATTGGCTGAATCTATGGGTTTATTTAAAAATACCATAAATATTTCAAAATTCACTTGGGTTTACTCAAGACAAAAAGGAAGATCAAGTCTCTAAAATGATGTAATTAACAAACAAGTAGAATTTAAAAGAGTCCAAATTCATATGTTTGTCAATTCCTATCCGATACGGGTATGGCACCCAAACAGAAGAATCCATGTGACATTGTGTAGAACCTCTCTCTCTCTCTCTCCTCCCGCACTATGAGCTTTATTATGCATGCTTAAAATATGTGCTTGGCCTCCTCTAAAGATTAGAAGAACTACAACCTCCTTTGTTAGGAAATATGACTCAGTTTGGGGTATTTGTCATGATTTTTTTTCTGCTTATTACTAGTAGGAGGTGGAGAGACTGCTGCATTCTGTGCCTGCTCCCGAACCCAAATACCAGCTCCGAAGAACCAGCTCTGCACCCTTTTGATAAATGATGTGTTTATACTTCACAACAAAGGTTCTGTTGAATTCACTGTGGACCCTTTTCAAGATACAAATCCGGACTCGGCTTATGTTCCTCCTCTTTCTTTGTAAGTTTATGCTATTGGCTTGGAACTCTGCATTTGCTGTTGTATTTTTCATCTCCACTTGAGGCCTTACTATGTACATTAATTATATGTTTGTACTTTCTTGGAATGTTGGGATTTTGCTTTTGTGAGAGTGAGAGTGAGAGTGAGAGTGAGAGTGAGAGTGAGAGGGAGAGGGAGAGGGAGAGGCCGTGTTATTTGTGCTTTGGGTTCCTGATAAACTATTTGTGCCTTACAAGCCTTTACAGTTATACATGTAATTGTGGGAACTTCACCAGGCTTGGGAAAAGAAAGGAAGTGTTTATTTATGAGTCCATCCCAAAATGTGTATGGTTTGTGATGGAGTTTCTGATCCCTGTGGCACTCTCTCTCTCTCATTTTCATTCACACATGCATGCATCTATATCTACGCATACCTCTCGCATTTTCATTCACACATGCAAGCATCTATACCTATATATATTTTTTATATTAAAAAAACATATACTTTTTATAAAGAGACTATTTATCTTTTGTACATAGAGGTCACAATCATTTTCACTCATTAGATGTCAAATTGGATGGTTTGGGGTGTCAAGAAAATTTTTTTAGGAGCTTTGTCTATTCAATGACACACTCTTACAACCACCCATTTTGAAATTTAAGGGACAAGAATGATTGTAACCTCTATGTATAAAAATAAATGGTTTTTTCATAGACAATCCTATATATATATATATATATAT